TCATAATTGTATTGTTAACATAAGTAGGAATGAAACATGTGGTACAACAGAGTTCATTATCAGTAGATCAATGAAATATAAGCAACTATAGTTTTACCTGTGTGTGCACGAGAAAATTTATATCGTTGTATAAATCATTAAGTTCTTTGATGCTTGTTTCTAAATTTAATATTTCATTATGCCTTAAACTGGCATCATCAAAAGCCGATTTTAATTGAGATGAACGTACATGTCTGAAAATTATATTCATTACATTATCCAAATTAATTCTATTCTGATATTATTTCCAAAAGTTTACTTTTTCTTTATGTTTTACTATAACTCTTAACATTATCATTAACAGCTTATTGTATATCACGACATGATAAGTTCTGCTTAACTTTTATTCCATTTTGTAACCGTTTTCACTATTTCAGGTAAAATATATTAACCTGTTGAAAATTTCTGATGACTTGGAATCAATCATTGTATTAATTTCGTCCTCCGTCATATATTCACCGGCAATATCTAACTGTCGCTTAATTCGTTCTTAATTAGCGTAAAATTATTATTAATAAATATGACCATTTTTAATTCGTAACTTCTTCATATCCTTTTACTTCTCATGTGAAATGCATAGATAGATTATACAAAAATTTTTTGGACAAGAAAGAACAAATTTAATTATGCAATTTATACAGTAATATGAAATGGTTAAAAAACTTCCATCAAATTTAAACTTTTTGACTGAAATTTTAAGATCAATAATTAATTTACTATTGACTTTATGATTAAATGATTTATAAAATTTCCCTTTTTCCATGTATTTACTATTTTTATTACAGTTTAAATTAATTAAATTAATTCAAACTTTTCTTTCTTTATCCCACACGTTTAAATTAATTAATTAACCTTTACTTCTCTTTTTTCTTTCTTTATCCCATGCGATAACTCCATTAGCGATCTATCAGAGAAGGTGATAATTTTATAAAACGTGACGAACTTGCAACTTGCGATCTGTAATCCAGTTGCGCAGCATTAAATATTTCCAACAAATCGGAAAGTTTTTTTAACAGCGCTTCAATGTGATATTGTTGGATGCGTTCGCTAATTCCAACAATTCGTCCATCCTTCATTTGTTTTTCATTTTGTTTCATAGCCAACAAATATTTTCGCAGTAGACGGGAGCGATGCCTTATCCCCGCCATACATTCATCGAGTTTCTCCTTCAATTATTTTTCTTTTTAAATTGAAAATGACAACGAGAAAGGAATAAATGTCATGAAAGTAACTGTGGTTTTTAAACTGATAGAATTTATATGAACATATTATTAAAAAATGCAACTTATTACATTTCATTTCAATGCTCATTTCTTACTTTCTCTTCATTTCACTAATTAAACAATTTGGGTTACCCCTCGCCGATCAATTAACACTTTTTCAATCATTTCCATAACTTTTTGCATAAAGTACTGGTTTCTCGGCTATAGAAATAAACTTAATTGTCTTGCTTGACTACTAATGTTATGATTGATAGAGATTTGATGACGTTTAGTTATAATAATTTACCATTTATCACTCCAAATCATAATCACTTTTGTGCTAATTAATTGCAATCTAATAATTTCGCTACCTTTTCACTGCTATCAACGATAGTTTGAGCCAAGATTGAACGGAGCTGCATTTTCATGCTTGCAACATCGTCTGATAATTTGGCCATCACATTTCGAATTTCGTCAATTTCAGCAAAGAATGAATTACCCTGTGGAAAACCAATATTTGGTTCGATATCAGTCACAATGAATGCGTTACCATCCGTTAGAAATTGATCAGCTTTTCGCTGAAAAAAGCAACAGAAATCATCTTTTGTGAATTTTAAAAATTTTATAAATATAAAAGTATCACACACAAAAAAAATTTTAACTTGTTAAATCCAAATTTTAATTGGATTAAAGAAATCCTTTTACATTTGAACGATTTATGGGCATTAAATTATTTCAGATATATGAAAGATCAATTGACCAAAGTTAAATTGTTCAATCAATTACAATACATTCATGATATTAAAGGCATTATCGGTAATTCAAGTTTGACATAAACTGACCCTAAATTCATTCGATCGATCTTTTACCATTATATTTCAAAAGTATGAAAAATTTCCAGAATATACTTCTTAATAGATGAATAGTAGGTAATCTGATGTCTTTCTGAAATTATAATTTGAAAAAGAAAAAAAACTTTAAAATCAAAAAAAAAGGAAGAAAATTGAAATATTTTTTTGTAAACAAAATGAATAAACGAATGAGTGAGTGAAATGATAGTAAAGTGAGTATAATTAATTCACTTTTTACCGCAATGATTCAGCAATCCTCCAATGTTTAGTGTTTAGTGTGCATATGTTGAAGATGGTGACAGCATAGGGAGGGATGATGCTGCGATGAATTTGCTTTTGAAATGAAAAATTGAGACGGTACAATGAATCGCCGATCGATTCATCACCTCTTATGAAATCAATGAATTTCCCATTCATTGCTGCCCAAATGGAAATATGCTTAGAGCCAAGCGAAATTTACTATTTTTTAAAGAGTAAATACCGACACGGTAGTACTTACTAGTACTGACTCCTATAAATTCTCCATGGAAACTAACATAAGCCTATTTACGATGCAGAGTATACCTCATTAAACACAACAATGAATGCTAATGCTTTATTGTATTGATTTATTTTAATAAATAGCTTATTCCCTTTGTTTAGACAACAGTTCAAGCCAATCTGATGGTGTCATTTTATAGGGGATTATTTAGTTTTCGAAAAATAACAGACACATATTATTTTTTAAAAAAGATGGAAAATAATGAGAATGTAGCATAAAAATATGATATTTTACATTAAAATAAAAAGGAGAAAATGTTTTATAAATAAAATAAGCGAATAGTTGAATAAACAATCTTCGCCTCGTTCATCACTTTCTCTTCTCTTTTGTTCATAGATAAGTTGAAACGAGTTGTGGGACAATATCATCCATTTAATAGGTTAAAAATAACAGAATAAGGTAAGTTTGTAGTCAATAATAAAACATTGTATAATGAATTTAATGATTCACTGAACAGTAAATACTCTAAAATTGATAGAAGCATTATTCAGATACCGATGAGACATGTATGATTTGAAGTGACATATTTGTCATTTGAACTGACATATTATTGGGTTACTCGATGTCTGATATGAAAGAAATGGAATCAATCAAAGAGACATCGTCGGTAAATAAAAAGAAACAATCAACAAATGCAATTTCAAGTACCAAACATCAAATTTGAAATCAATAAGTATGATCCAAATTTTTGTCCTTTTAAGATGGACTTCTGAATACTTCTGGTTACTTACATCGCAGTTCAGCTTATTGGAATGTCAGATAACGATCGGTACATCGTCCTTTTTTCTAACTTTTATTTTCTGACTACCATCAATGGTTTCTATTAATTATTCAATTAAAAAGAACGATTTTTTTCATTTTATAATTTAGCTTAGTGCTATTGCATTTTTTTTGTAAGTTTAGATAATCAGAGATTTCTGTTCAATTTGGCTATCAATTAAAATTTTATTTGTAAATACAATACAGATTTTTGCATACTTTGATCAAAAAAGTACTGGCGATAATCGTTAATAAAGTGATTTTGAATTCAATTAATGCTTTTTTGTCAATCCTATCAAAAGTAATTCAAATTTGTAATTAATGATTTGCGATTAATTATATGGATCTAATATTATGACTATCTCTCAGAACAGAAGTTTATCATTAATGTGTAGGATAAAACAAAAAAAAAAGTACCGATAGTAATCGGTCAACAAATATATTTTGTTATACTAACACATACGGTAGAAAGCTGCTACGAGGAATGAACCGATTTATGAAGTTGATAAGATAACGATAACTAACTCACCTACAAGCTTTTGCTGTCGCGCAATGATAATCCTAATCATTTCGATATATTACTTCCACTAGACATTGCTTTCTAAGCTTTCCACGTATAGATAAAATAAATTTTTCTTTCCTTAAATAGCTTACGAATGACAAGGCTTTTAATAGACCAAATGTTGTGTATTAGAGCTTCAACTTTTGAATTAATTTTTTTTTAAATACTTACCTTTTAAGATTTACAGCTATAAATATTAACCGACATAACTGAGAAGAAGAAAGATTGAAACTTTAAATATATCCAAGCTTCAGTAAAAAAAGGAAAATTTTAAGATTAAGATTATAATAAATTAGACAAACTCCAAAAAAAGTGAATGAGGATTGTTTTTTTCAGAAAATGATTTACAATTCTTTACAATTACTATTAAAAATAAATTCAACATTGCTATGCAAAATTATAATTTCCTCATATTTCTGGAATATTTGCATTCTTTTTCAAGAATTCAATATTTTTTTTCTATTAATTAATTTGAAGTTTAGATGTCATTACGCACACCAACAAAGCTTGGCAGTCAAACAACCGATTATTGGGAGTTCGAAGCTCATTTTCATAATGACGGCTAGTTCGCTTTCTTTTAATTATGATGATAAAGACATTGATAATAAAAGTATTACTGGAGAAAACAGGTGAAAGTAGCTTCTGAATATGTTTACGGTATGAAATTATTGGAGACCTATTGAGAATTATTTACCTTTAACACTTTTCATTGAGAATTGAGGCATAAAAATATAATTAGAACTTTTGATTGGTCATAAATGGGACAACAGCATCAATTTTTGATTTCTTCATTGTTTGTTTTTTCTGAAAAATTCTTTTATTCGTTTCATTTCTTTCATCCCTTATTGTTTAATTGCTTCTCTCTCTGGTTCTCGGCTTTAAGTCAAGATTCTAGTATTGGAATCGGAAAGCCTAACATGAAGCATGTGGTAGGCTATAGAACGGTATCTTAATAATTTTGAACTCATTTATCAAAACGAACTAATTGAAAAATAAATTAATTAGACAAAATTTTATTTGTTTTTTAATTTAATTATGTAAAAAAGGAATGGGAGAAAGCACAAAGAAACAATAAGCTTATAACTACATTATGTTGTCTAATTAATATTTAAGTTGATTAGACAAGATATATGTAACTATAAGTGCATAATATAATTTTTTTCTTTTTGTTTTTTATAGAATTCATTCAATAGGAACAGATATCAAATTTTTATCAAGTCAATTTTACTAATCATTATTAATATTTTATTTATATCTCAACATTGAAAGAAGTGAAAACATATCTTTTTTTTTAATTTAGCTTTTTCATCAAGCAAAATTTTTTTTTAATATTTTTTAATTTACGAAAATTGGAATAAATCTTTGCATGTTATTGATAATTTTAAAAAAAACACTAAAATAATTGCATGATTTTACTTCTCTCATTATTTCTTATATAATATTTGATTCTAAATTGAAATTGTTCTTGTTAAAATTCCTTTTACCCCAAATAAAAACCGCTTTGTTTTCTTTAGATTGTAACACAAATATATTTACGAATGGAATTGTTGCTGAAGAATCGCGTTTGAACAATTATGAAATAACGAATAATAACCATTCCTCAAAATATTATCCTTCCACAGGTAATCTCCAGAAATAACTCTTTAGTGAGATATTTAAATGATAATTAAAAAATACATAAGTTTGTAGCAGCACTATTTAATTAGTACGTTCTTTATAATATCGAATTAACGTACAAAATGATAAAATAATTGTTGGAAGGATATTTATGAATTATTATAAAATACTTCGTTACATTATGGCTTAAAAATTTATTAAACATAGAAAGTTTTTCGAAGTGACTTCTTATTAAATTTTTAAATTTATTAATTTTACTGCTAAATAATTATGTAGGTATTATTATCCTTAATTAGGCCAGAACTTATTCTCACTGGGAATACGTCAAAAAGTTTTTTTTTTTTGAAATGATTTATTTCATTAAAATTGCTTTGAAGTAATTGTTGACATTTTGAGATGGAACTGTACCCGACACTTCTAGCAAATCAATTCCAACGATACGTGTTTTGCATCAGATGGAACCGTCTTCCTCACACACTCAATATTCTCGAAGCATTTCCTATCCTGAATTCATTCATCGATCTTCCACCCGAATACCAGTGGTACAATATTTCGAAGAACCATCACAAATTCATCATCATCACCATCATCACCATCCGATATCATGTTATCACCGGTATGTTTGATAAATAAATGAAACATTTCAGAAGAAAGTTTATTTGTATATGATATGGCTAACTTGAGGGATACATTTCTAATTTTCAACATCCTCTTTGCTTTCTTCATATTATTCAAAGTAATGAGAATTTCTTTTAATGCTTTTGATTTTTAGGCCAATGGAATGCCTTTGTCAAGGCCTACTATGTCAACAATGGATACCTTCAAAAAATCAAGCATGTCCAGAACAGGTTTCATTTTTATTATTGCAAATCTATTCAGCTTTAAGGAAGAAAATTTACTGCATCTTCAGAAATTATCGTCATGTTTAAATTGAAAGTTAATTTTATATTTTTAGGTGCTACTAATTTTTATTGATACATTTGAATGAACGACTTTTTTTAGCAGTGCAATACTATGGAAAATTTGTAGTTAGCTATTTAAAAAGACAAATGATATGGGACATTGAGATATTGATAAGAACAATTTCAGGTGGCATATATGCAACAGCAATCTACTGAGGTGGCAAATAGAAATGTATCATCATCAGTACCACCGGAATTACTTAGAGAATTATTTGTAACTAATAATAGTTCTCCATTAATTAATAGTGTCGCTATTAATTTCAAGAAAAAGGTTAATAAATAATTATTGTCGAGAAATTAATTTAAATACTGTATAAACTTTAAATTATTTTATCGTTTGTCGTAACCGTAAAGAAATGAATTATGAATAGTAGTAAATGCATTTGATGATAAAAAGTTATCCTTTACATCGACTATATATGACATATGTGATCGAATTTCAATGCATAAATATTTTCTGAGTGTTGCTATCATAAGAATATAACTGAATATAATTGGAAATATAACAATTGAAATAAATAAGTATTGTTGTAGCCAATCAGTACTCATATTAATTCGGTATGCTCAAACTGTGGTACCAAAGAAACGACATTGTGGCGTCGCAGCAGTACAGGAGCTATAGAGTGCAAGTTTGTTTATTTGTTTTATTCATTAGTAAATGATATAATTTTGTTAAAAGCATCTATGTGATGCTTATCATATATAATCAATTCATCAAGACTACTATTTAATTAATTAATTAATTAATTAAATTTGTTTAACCTAATTATTTAATAATTAGCATTTATTAAAAAATGCTTTCAGTGCATGTAATTTGTATTATCGTAAGAATAATCGATCAAGGCCAATAACAATGTCAAATAAAATAAGAAAACGAGTTCGGTTACCGCGTTATCATTTCCCATAAAAATTTTACGTACAAATATTACTTAACTTTTTTTGACAAACTATTCTGCCAGATGATATGTAATACTCTGAAATAGATTATTGATTCGATAGTATCACTCAAAAACTACTAGAACGTAGAGTTTTAAATTTTACTAGCAAAACAACGATTTTACATCTCATT